ATGGGGTCAATAAGACATAATTAGTGACAGGTCCTCTTTATGGAGAGATATGGGGTCAATAGGAAATAATTAGTGACAGGTCCTCTTTATGGAGAGGTATGGGGTCAATAGGAAATAATTAGTGACAGGTCCTCTTTATGGAGAGATATGCGGTCAATAAGAAATAATTAGTGACAGGTCCTCTTTATGGAGAGATGTGGGGTCAATAGGAAATTATTAGTGACAGGTCCTCTTTATGGAGAGGTATGGAGTCAATAGGAAATAATTAGTGACAGGTCCTCTTTATGGAGAGGTATGGGGTCAATAGGAAATAATTAGTGACAGGTCCTCTTTATGGAGAGATATGGGGTCAATAGGAAATAATTAGTGACAGGTCCTCTTTTTATGGTCGAGAGACATAATTGGGGTCATGGATATGGGGTCAATAAGACATAATTAGTGACAGGTCCTCTTTATTATGGGGGTCAACAGGAAATAATTAGTGACAGGTCCTCTTTATGGAGAGATATGGGGTCAATAAGAAATAATTAGTGACAGGTCCTCTTTATGGAGAGATATGGGGTCAATAGGAAATAATTAGTGACAGGTCCTCTTTATGGAGAGATATGGGGTCAATAAGACATAATTAGTGACAGGTCCTCTTTATGGAGAGATATAGGGGGTCAATATGGGGTCAATAAGACATAATTAGTGACAGGTCCTCTTTATGGAGAGATATGGGGTCAATAAGACATAATTAGTGACAGGTCCTCTTTATGGAGAGATATGGGGTCAATAAGACATAATTAGTGACAGGTCCTCTTTATGGAGAGATATGGGGTCAATAAGACATAATTAGTGACAGGTCCTCTTTATGGAGAGATATGGGCTCAATAAGACCCCACATCTCTCCTCAGCAATGTAAAGCATTGGATAAAAAAAAGCATTGATCTAGTAGTGCTATAGAAAAAAAAAAAAAAAAATGGCCGGAACGGGAGGTGACATCGCTCCTGTTCTCCAAGGGCATAGAGATGTGTGGCGGCCATCTTTCCTTCACTCATCTCTATGCCCAGCACCACGATCAATGGTTTCTCAGGTAAGGCTGAACTAACAAGCAGCGGCCGGTGGCGGTGGCGGTAGCGGCGGGCAGTGGCAAGGTTTTTTTTTCCATTTCGGCCAACGGCCCAAAAGGAGAGTTTTTTTTCGGCCGAAACGTTTCGGCCACCGAAATTTCGGTGCATCCTTAGTGGGAAGGTCCAATGGCTCACTCATTTTGGAAAAATCTTTGCACTCTCCTCTATTCTCTTTGAGACAACCCTGCCACCTGACCCTACCACTGCTCTTCTTAATTTCAGACCTGCACTGTTAACTCCTGACAGACGCTAAACAGACTATAGCTGGGGCATGGTGGTCCCCCTCTAACTTTGGCTGAGACGAAGCATAGAATGTACCGTGCCATCATACACGCCAAAACGGAAGCTTTGGAAAAGGATCAGATCGAGAAATTCGAAAGAACTTGGAAGCCATGGATCAAACACTACCTCCCCCTGACTTTGATGAGATGGTACTCTTACCATGGTAAACTACCGTTTCAGCTACATTTATATTTGGGCGCGCCACCCTCAGGGACTCTCCTTTCCTACCCCCTCTGGCTCTTTTCTGCACTTCTACTCTGTGACGGTGTCTTTTGTTTCCCACCCACCTGCTACAGCCGAGTCTGTGACTGCATGGCTGGCTCTGCTGTGCTCTTATCTTTCACATCTTTTCTTCTGTCTGTAGTTTCTCTTCTATGGTTTGTCTCCTCAGACCGCATCTTGTCGCTAGCAATTAAACTGCTGAGGCTTAGCATACCTTCAAGAAGGTCATTTCCATAGTTATAGCACACCTGCTGGATGTTACCAGGTTCTCCTTCGGTTACAATTTTTCTGTACCCAATATATTCACCTTACACTGCTTATTTGTACCATTTTCCCATGACTATGTGTCCTGGGTTTGTGTTACCCTCTAGACCATTGGTTCTCAACCTTCCTAATGCCGCGACCCTTTAATACAGTTCCTCATGTTTTGGTGACCCCCAATCCCCCCTATAATTATTTACCCAATAATTATAATTCATGAAGTGTCGTTTTACCTCCAATACTGCTGCTTTCTACACAGTAGCTGCTTTCTACACAGTAGCTGCTTCCAACACAGTAGCTGCTTCCAACACAGTAGCTGCTTCCAACAAAGTAGCTGCTTTCTTCACAGTAGCTGCTTTCAACACAGTAGCTATAATTATTTACCCAATAATTATAATTCATGAAGTGTCGTTTTACCTCCAATACTGCTGCTTTCTATCACAGTAGCTGCTTCCAACACAGTAGTGCTTTCTAACACAGTAGATTGCTTTCTTAACGTAGCTGCTTTCAACACTTTCTACACAGTAGCTGCTCTTTACCCATCGGAAATTTGTGTTTTCCGATGGTCTTAGGCGACCCCTGTGAAAGGGTCGTTCGACCCCCGAAGGGGTCGCGACCCACCGGTTGAGAACCACTACTCTAGACTGTAATTTGCTTTATGCGTGGCCTTCAACCACCTGCCTGTCTGTTTGATTTCTATGGGTTTCATGTTGAAATAAAAATCTTTGACAAGGAAAAAAAAAAAAAAAAAATGAAAAAAAAAAAGTATTCTCAGCCTTTGCTCAATCCTTTGTTGAAGCCCCTTTAGCACCAATTCCAGCCTCAAGTCATTTGGAGTATGATGCTGCAAGCTTGGCACACCTATTTTTGGGCAATTTCTCCCATTTTTCTTTGCAGGACCTCTCAAGCTCCATCAGGTTGGATGGGGAGCATCGGTGCACAGCCATTTTCAGATCTCTCCAGAGATGTTCAATCGGGTTTAAGTCTGGGCTCTGGCTGGGCCACTCCAGGATGATCACAGAGTTGGCCGTAGCCACTCCTTTGTTATGTGGGCTGTGTGCTTAAAGATGAACCATTGCCCCAGTCTAGGGTCCAGAACGCTCTGGAACAGATTTTCATCATGGATGTCTCTGTACATTGCTGCATTCATCTTTCCTTCGATCCTGACTAGTCTCCCAGTTCCTGCCCCTGAAAAACATCCCCACAGCATGATGCTGCCACCTCCATGCTTCACTGTAGGGATGGTATTGGCCAGGTGGTGAGCGGTGCCTGCTTTCCTCCAGACATGACGCTTGGCATTCAGGCCAAAGAGTTCGATCTTTGTTTCATCAGACCAGAGAGTTTTGTTTCTCATGGTCTGAGAGTCCCTCAGGTGCCTTTTGGCAAACTCCAGGTGGGCTGCCATTTGCCTTTTACTGAGGAGTGGCTTCCATCTGGCCACTCTACCATACAGGCCTTTTTGGTGCTGCAGAGATGGTTGTTCTTCTGGAAGGTTCTTCTCTCTCCACAGAGAAATGCTGGAGCTCTTCCAGAGTGACCATTGGGTGCTTGGTTACCTACCTGGCTAAGGCCCTTCTCCCTCGATTGCTCATTTTGGCCGGGCGGCCCGCTCTAGGAAGATTCCTGGTGGTTCCAAACTTCTTCCATTTACAGATGATGGAGGCCACTGTGCTCATTGGGACCTTCAATGCTGCAGAAATGTTTCTGTACCCTTCCCCAGATCTGTGTCTTGATACAATCCTGTCTCGGAGGTCTCTAGACAATTCCTTGGACTTCATGGCTTGGTTTGTGGTCTGACATGCACTGTTACCTGTGGGACCTTCTATAGACAGGTTTATGCCTTTCCTAATCATGTCCAATCAACTGAATGTCCCACAGATGGACTCCAATCAAGTTGTGGAAACATCTCAAGGATGATCAGTGGGAACAGGATGCTCCACAGCTCAATGCTGAGTGTCATGGCAAAGGCTGGGAATACTTATGTACATGGGTTTTTTTTTTTTTTTATTAATTTTTAATAAATTGCAAAGACATCAAAGCAGACTTCTTTCACATTGTCATTATGGGATATTGTTTGTAGAATGTGGAGGGAAAAAATTAATTGAATCCATTTTGGAATGAGGCTGTAACATAACAAAATGTGGCCAAAGTTAAGTGTTGTGAATACTTTCTGATGCACTATATATAGTGCAACGTATGTAATACAACATAGTGTATAGTGCAGGGGTCAGGAGCGTATGTAATGTACAACATAGAGTATATAATGCAGGGGTCAGGAGTATGTAATGTACAACATAGTATACAGTGCAGGGGTCAGGAGGATGTAATGTACAACAGAGTATACAGTGCAGGGGTCAGGAGGATGTAATGTACAACATAGAGTATATAATGCAGGGGTCAGGAGTATGTAATGTACAAATACAGTATATAGTGCAGGGGTCAGGATATGTAATGTACTTATACAGTGTAAGGGGTCAGGACTCATAATATTGGTATTCAGTAATCCACCCGGCACAGCCAGCAGACAATAGAGTAAGTAACCCTGGGACAATTGTTCTGTCAGAGATCTTGCTAGACCCAGAATACCCAAAACACATGCTGCGGGTACATAGGTTTAGCAAAGCCTATGCTGAAAATCCACATTTTTCTGCCAGCTGAACCCCAGAATCTCCATAAATCCAGTCTAGATACATAAACTGTGTCTGCAGCACAGAGAAGGAAGATTATCCGAGAGAAATCCAGGAATACAGGACGGGGAACACAGCTCAGGAAAGTGACCAGGGGATTACAGGCTGATATCACCCAGTCCCCCGCCCTACTCTGGACCAATCAGTGAGCAGTATGGGTGGAGGAATGGATTTAGTGTTCATGACCCACCTGTGCTGATCTCTGTAGGAGTGTCCTCCTCTATAAATGTCCCCGTTATTCCATCCTCCTCCATAGACTGCTGATCATCCCTCACATACGCCTCTTCTTCTTCTGCTTTCACCTCAAATTCTATATCGATTGGATCTCCACTCTAAATCAAGGAAATGAGAGAGAATATCATCTGTAAAATAAAAATTATTATTGTGACATTACATAAAAACCCCACACAATTGTCTCCACAAGTCCATGTTCTAGATGCTCCATACCACCAACCTTGTAATGGTGAGGGATGGTGGGATCTTCCTGTTTGGAATCCTGGGAATACAGAGGACGGGGACATCTCTCTGGTGGGTTCCTGGTATTAGGTGGCTCCATCATATCCTTGTGTTCTTCTGAAAAACTCCTCCATCACTCCATACTCCTCATCCTCCTCTTTATACTCTTCTTTAACAATATTATCATTTATGAGGTTTCCACTCTGAATATATAATAAAAATGCCATCAATGGTAACAATGCAGATAATGTACAGATCCTAATGATACTATCAGTGATTGTTCCTCATCTACCTGATGATGGTGAGGGATGGTGTGACCTTCCTGTGTGGAATCCCGGGAATACAGAGGACGGGGACATCTCTCTGGTGGGTTCCTGGTATTAGGTGGCTCCATCATATCCTTGTGTCCTTCTGAAAACTCCTCCATCACTCCATACTCCTCATCCTCCTCTTTATACTCTTCTTTAACATCAATATTATCATCCCCGAGGATTCCACTCTGAAAGATATAATAAAACATTCATTGTAACAAACATGCTGTGTATAAATCACAACTACCAATAATTGTCATCATCTACCTGATGATGGTGAGGGATGGTGTGACCTTCCTGTGTGGAATCCCGGGAATACAGAGGACGGGGACATCTCTCTGGTGGGTTCCCATGACTGGATCCATCTGTAGGAAACACACACACTGACTGAATCCATTGTTTCTATGTGTTTATCAGATGATGGGGGATCTAGGTGGATCCTCCGTACTGCTCTCTCCTTTACAATAAAGTCTCCTCTTACCCCCGGTGATGTGAGGGGCGGCTGATTGTCCATCATGACGTCCTTGTAGAGATCCTTGTGTCCTTCTAAATACTCCCACTCCTCCATGGAGAAATAGACAGTGACACCCTGACACCTTATAGGAACCTGACACACACAATGATACAGTCACCATCCAGACACATCCCTTGTCTGTTACTGGAGAATGTCCCAGAATTCCCGGCACCGCTCACCTCTCCTGTCAGCAGCTCAGTGATCTCTCTGGTGACTTCTAGAATCTTCTTCTTCTTTCTCTCTTCTATCAGGGAGGGAGGTGGAGGCAATGTGATGTCATATGATCTCCAGACTTCACAGGAGGAAAACTCTACATCTGAACACAAATAGTCACATCAAATGATATTCCCAGAATCCTCCTCACCTCACCATTCAATATTTTATTAAAGCCCCACTTCAGGCCAAGGTATATTCCCCCCAAAAAGGACCCCCCACAATCCCAAGGTTAAAAGCTTGTTGCAGCATTCTGATGTCATTACATACAACGCAGGACCAACAGTCCCACTTTACAAGTGAGGATGTCAAGGGTCCCCCCACACCCTAAGAGCATCAGAAAAAAAAAGCCACATGGAGGGACATTGGGAGGAGGAGCTGTGAGGTCAGTGTGAAGTCACAGGATTCTCTGACTCTGGTTGGAGGACATTGGGAGGAGGAGCTGTGAGGTCAGTGTGATGTCATAGGATTCTCTGACTCTGGTTGGAGGACATTGGGAGGAGGACCTGTGAGGTCAGTGTGATGTCAGCTGATTCTCTGACTCTGGATGGAGGGACATTGGGAGGAGGAGCTGTGAGGTCAGTGTGATGTCATAGGATTATCTGACTCTGGATGGAGGGACATTGGGAGGAGGAGCTGTGAGGTCAGTGTGATGTCATAGGATTCTCTAACTCTTGATGGTGGGAACATTGGGAGGAGGCTGTGAGGTCAGTGTGATGTCATAGGATTCTCTGACTCTGGTTGGAGGACATTAGGAGGAGGAGCTGTGAGATCAGTGTGATGTCAGCAGATCCTCTGACTCTGGATGGAGGAACATTGGGAGGAGGAGCTGTGAGGTCAGTGTGATGTCATAGGATTCTCTAACTCTGGATGGAGGGACATTGGAGGAGGAGCTGTGAGCTGTGATGTCATAGGATTCTCTGACTCTGGATGGAGGTACATTGGAGGAGGACCTGTGAGGTCAGTGTCAGTGTGATGTCATAGGACATATAGACTCTGGATGAACATTTGGATGGGGATATTTGAGGGGTCCTCTATATGAGGCTCCCATGTAAACCAAATCATTGTACCTGGGTGCGTCCTACCTCTCCTAAATTGAACTTTGACCTTTACCATCCAGAAATCTGTCCAGAATCAGTAAAAGCTCATCATGAAGGAGATGAGGGGGAGGGGAGGAAGTCACTGAAGGTGACCATAGATCCATGGAAATTCAGCTGGTTCAGCAGGGATCGCTCACATTTCCATCCATGTGTGGCCACTGCCGGATAAAAGCCACTCCCCCAGCGGCTGCAGCCAATAGCTTCAGTGCTGATCGTGTATTCTGAGAGCGGAGGAGTCCCCCCATTGTCAGAATACAAGAGTGCAGCGGGGAGGATTCCCCCATCCACCTCCAATGTGTGGATGGGGGAATCACTTCATTTTTTATGCTCATCCCGCTGGCTGAACGATAAAACTGAACCATGTAGGCCAGCTTTGGGAGCAAATATATTATCATCAACTCCTCCCCCTGAAGGGGTTCATCTACGTATTACCTCCTCTGCTGCCAGATCCAACAAAGTCTCTCTCTCTACTTCCTTCCACATGTAACTTCCTGTCTGTACCTGACATCACTTCCCTGTGACATCACTTCCTGTCTTCCATAGAGACTTCCTGTCTGGGTAGAAGTGAGATCACCACCTTGTGGAGCTCAGAGGAACTGCAGCCCCGAGAAGCGTCTGGTAGTGTGACCCCGGCCTTGTGCTGGGTGTGTATGGACTGTAGATCCTTATAGAGGGGTCACCTCCACTCCCACCAAGGGGGACAGAAATATATGACTGCTCGGGGGAGGGGTTTTGGCCCCTTTGATTTTGCAGTAACATTGATTGCAGATTTAGTCCTGTAGAACATCTGGTATATGGATACAAAGCCCCCCAGCTGGGAGTAAAGGGTGGAAATGGCTGGTGACCCCCAGATTTGGGCAATGATGTCATCACTATAAATGGATAAAACCCGCGCTATGTGTAACAACTCCAAACCTACAAAAACCTTCTAGCGGACTGCTGCTGTAACAAAGGGAAGGATTTTAAATGTCAAAAATAATAGTGGTGTCCCTGCAGAGAGCTCCGCTATTATATTTGACATTTAAAAGTATTGCCTTTGCAACATTGTATCTATTTGTATCTGAATAGAAACAACTGTATCCAAAATGGATACAAATAGATACAATGTTGCAACTTTGCTATACTTTTAAATGTCAAATATAATAGAGGAGCTCTCTGCAGGGACACTGCTATAATATTTGCCGGCCGTAGACAGAACAAAAATCATCCAATTTTTTTTTACCAATGGTGGTAACGTCGGCCGATTGAACGACCGATTTTTCATTTAAAAAAAAAAAAAAAAAAAACAGCTGGTTTTTGCCTCATCTATGGCCTGCCTTACTATATATTAAAGTGGTCTGCTGCACTTAGAGGCGCTTCTTCTTCTTTCCTTAATATTATTATTATTATTATTATACAGTATTTATAAAGCGCCGATAGTTCGCTCAGCGCTGTACATTACAGAGGGGGACAGAACATGTGACAGAATAACAATACAATGCAAAACATGAGGGGATCGAGGGCCCTGCTCTTTCGAGCTTACAATCTAGGAGGGAGGGGATGGTGGCACAGGAGGAGATAGCTGTGGGGGATGGGTGGTAGGAAGAGTGGAGGAGGTCGGCAAGTTAGCAGGGGGTGGGGTAGGCTTCCCTGAAGAGGTGGGTTTTCAGGGTGCGCCTAATACACAGAGACTGCTACAGTACTGCATGGAGCTTGCCCTGAGTGCCACACGGAACCCCTTTATCCTAGCCACATGGACTATTTCTAAACACTACTAGACTTTTCGGACTTTGGTCCAGTATTTGGTCTGATTATCATTACTTCTACTATCAGAAGTTTGCCACTGAACATATGAATGAGGACTGGTTGAAAGTGTTGTGGTCAGATGAGACCAAAATTCAGCTCTTTGGCATCAACTCAACTGGCCGTGTTTGGAGGAGGAGGAAGGCTGCCTATGACCCCAAGAACACCATCCCAACTGTCAAACATGGTGGTGGAAACATTCTGCTTTGGGGGTGTTTTTCTGCTAAGTGGACAGGACAACTGCACCGCATCAAAGGGACGATGGACGGGGCAATGTACCGTCAAATCTTGGGTGAGAACCTTCTTCCCTCACCCAGGGCATTGAAAATGGGTCGTGGATGGGTGTTCCAGCATGACAATGACCCAAAACACACGGCCAAGGCAACAAAGGAGTGGCTCAAGAAGAAGCACATTAAGGTCCTAGAGTGGCCTAGCCAGTCTGCAGACCTTAATCCAATTGAAAATCTGTGGAGGGAACTGAAAGTTCGAGTTGCCAAACGTCAGCCACCAAACCTTAATGACTCGGAGAGGATCTGCCAAGAGGAGTGGGCCAAAATCCTCCCTCCTGAGATGTGTGCAAACCTGGGGGCCAACTACAGGAAACGTCTGACCGCTGTGATTGCCAACAAGGGATTTGCCACCAAGTACTAAGTCATGTTTTGTGAAGGGGATCAAATACATACAGTATTTCCCTCATGAACATGCAAATCAGTGCATCATTTGTTAGACATGCATTTTTTTTTATTTTCTGTTGCTATTCTGTCTCTCAGTGTTACAATACAACTACCATTCGATTTTTAGACTGATCATTTCTTTGTGAGAGGGCAAACATTCAACATCAGCAGGGGATCAAATACGCATTTCCTTCACTGTATATATTTGAATGGGGAATATCATAGTATAAAAATCAAGGTCATACATGCCTAAGCTAGCAAATACAAAAGGTTAGATAGCAGTCTCCCACCTCCTGTTCTGACAGGCCCATCCAAAATTCTCTGTTTTTGGTGTCCCTGGACAAAAATATAAAACTGAACAATAATCTACCAGTTTCCAGAATGCAACCTGTACATAGTGGAAGATATTAATATCAAACTGTGTGTAAGGGAGGGCTACAATATAGTCGTGGTGGTGACCTCCCAGTCATCACCCGTTAAACCTGATGATTGGTCAGATAGTCTCTGTCAACACCCCCCTTGCTGTCAGATAAAAAATTGCAAGCAGATTTGATAGCTCTCATTTTAACATCAACCAAAGAACACCTAACCGGACTTGAGAGAGCCTCTGTACCGTTTTTGCTTGATCAATTGCACTCTGCTAAATCCAAGGACTTTGCAAATATTCTTCATTTTCAACTCCTTTTTAATTCTTTATTGCTTTATTGTCTCTTTAATTCTTTGTAACACATTTTTTCTGTAAATATTTTATTTGCACAGTATAGGGGCTGCCAGGGTGCCCAAGTGTCACAGTAGGTGCTGCCAGGGTGCCCCAAATTAGCTGTGTCCACCCTCTCTACAATAATACATTTCAGCCCAATAAAGTACATCTCAGTCCCAAACTTTGTTAAACAATTTCCCCCACATTCATTTAGCATTGTAGTTCCAAATAGCCAGCGCTTCCCCCCTGTCAGGATGACCACCCCCCCTGCTGTCTCTTGTCCTGCCAAGGCTCTTTGAAGCCGAGCCGCGCAGGGTGAGAGGCGCGGCTCTTCTCACCTCGCCTCACCAGCGAGGCCGGAGGGGACAAGATAGCAAGGT